ACGTTTGTATAAGTCTTCCTACCATTATGTCCAAGTTGCGAAAACAAGGTGAAACAACTTCTATACAACGGAAGGAGACTGCGACCACACAAAAGGCCACACCATCTTGGTCTTCATATCATAGATTACTTTAGTGATTTTTTCTGAACTTACATTAAACCCAAGTTTTTGCCATCTCCTGCAAACGGTTAATCAAGCCCGTTTGTCCTATCAATCCACTTAGTTGATTTGTTCTATTTTATATCAAGCACATGTAAATAAGTAAACATAAATATAACTGTATAACTTATTTTGCCTCTTTCAGACCCGCATGATTGCCGCGACTGGTCTTCGGGCCTGCCTTCTGCATCTCCGCCAATCGGACCTATGCTGCCAGACGGAAGTGCCCAGCCCTCTAATCTTAGCCTCCCGCCGAACATATCGCCACTTTCTCCAAGTGCTTCCACGTATTTGCGATGTCGTCCGGAGTCAACCTTGGCCCACGACCCGACGCTTGAACAGCAGTGCCGTTTATCCCACACACTGCTCGAAAGACGCAAATCATACCCCACTCATAGCCTTACTTCATCTCCGTCTTCATTGTTGATGGCCTTGCCTCCCCGGTCGGGCAGTAAGACGCAATTTCGGCCATTGTCACGGGCTGTTCCGCATCATCTTGAGACGGCCAATATCCCCATTAAGCCGAGCCTTGCATTGCCTAGTGAACCCAACCAACTCTATCCGGGCAAGATACCCTCCATACCTGTGCCGACATCGTCTAAACCCAATTCTATCTCCAGATTTATTGCCAGCAAAAGAGATGATTTTGCTGCCAGCACAAATGTGACTCAGCTCGACAACAACAAATTGAAGATTGCTCGCCAGATGACCGCCTTTCGGCTTTGTGGCACTCAAATGCCATCGGACTGCGCCCCATCCTTCAAACGACGTTCGCTTTCTGCAGTCAATCCACGCCAGGCTGCCCATCTGACTGACGTGTCCAGTTGTCAGCCCTACTACATCGCTCAGACCAAATCGGATGCTACAAGCTCCAGCACGTCTACTAACGCCATCTCGGCTTCTTCGTCACCTCAGAAAATCTCGCAGGTTTATCCTGCTCCTCCACCTCTTCTTGTAAAGCCTCATATTATGAAGGCGCCACTGTCTTCTTCGCAATCCTTAAGCTCGCGTTGTTCTCCTGCCGACGAAATGCCTGGCTCTGTCAGAGACACGCCGAGTGCATCCCTGCCTCCCAA